ATAATAAACTATACAAGTTTACATCATATGAATAAATTTGAAAGTTCTATTATATTTTAAATATTATATAACTTGTATCAACATTTAGTATATTGATAACTGTAATACTTAATTTAATACCTCCATCAAAACTTATTTAACTAAAACCTAGCACAAACATTATTTATAATATATTGCGTAAACCAACCTAAAATAACTTAGATTTAAATGTAACGACAAATTAAAGTCACAGAGATATTTGATATTTTCCGGTAAAAATACTTACAAAGTTAAACAACGTTCATGAAATGATATTGTATTAAAGTATTTGTGAATATAAAATGTATCATTTAAAGTGTATCATCTAATTATTTACTAGACATTTATATATTAAAATAATATATTATTTATAATCTATGGAACAAAATCATGGTGTTTTCTTTTCAATTATATCTATGTTTGAAATTAATAACATAAAATTACCATTCACCACACAAAAATGTAAATGTGCGTGTACACACATAAATATATTTATATCTAGGCTATTGATATTATTAAAGTTCGTTATATAATTTAAAGAGAGAATGTAGAATAACTATTGAAAACAAAAATATTTTGCAACTAACGTGTGAATGAAATCATTTTATTTTTTGTATCTAGGTATTCAAATTCTCACTATAATTTAAATTACATAAAAAATAATGTATCTACCTGTTAGGTTAAATGATTAAAACATCAAATAGTATTATTTCTTTACTACACGTGTAAGTAAATAAGTTGAAGTATTAATATATTGTATTATGTAATATGTATTGTATATTAATGAGTACGAAATTAATTTTACGCGAATTGCATAAACATTTTATTTTTGAAAATAAGTGAATTTTTTGGTTTTTTTCATATGTTGAATTATTTTTTATAAATATTTTTTGATTAGTAAAGAAAAAAATTCAAAATCTTTCGTATTGAGCTATACCAGTAGCCAGTAGATATTAGAAATGTCTATAGTTGGTAGAGTATTATAAAAGTTATTGAAAGAAAAAACTACAGGATAACAATAAAAAAATCTGGAATGATATATCCAAAATCAATTATATTCAATATGCGGTTCGTTCAGATTAGTTTTACAATAATACGATGACTAGTTTTAAATTTAATGCTTTTTTCCAACTTATTTGAATATACGCTTAAAAAGTAAATACACTTATTTACCTATAATTATTATAACATCATAATTTAAGTATAATTCAATTATATAATATTATTATAGTTTCAAACAATAATTTTCACCAGTGATAAAATAATAAATACCAATGTTTGTGTTACACTCATAATGACTGTGATTGTAAGAGTGAACGTCGATTGAAAACCAGTTATCGCAAAAAAAACTGATAACTTAAACCATAAATGTTCTTTTTGTAGCATTTATAGTCAAAGTAGAAGGTGATAGCAATGCTGTAATAGCCCTAAAGCAAATTTGTGTAAAATTACTTCACAGCGCAAAGAACTTGGTGATGTCCTATTTTTAGGTCACGGCATTCATAAAACTAAAGAGCCCCGCAGCTAAAACCAAACTCTTCACGAAAATTATTAATAATTAATGGAAACCGTATGATCTAGAAAATACAAGAACAAACAACTTTTACAAAAAAAATCAAAATCATAATATATATAGGTATATTTAGGTATCAATTATGTGCACAATTGCTCCAGAAAACACGAATACACGGATCGCATATTGTTATGCATCAATATGGTATCTTGTAATGAATTGATAAATTAAAACTAATACTTAAACTGCAGATAATTTAGAATATAAGTAAATTTGTAAGCCTTAAAATTATGAAAAAAATATGATTGTACTAATTTTATACTAGAAAATATGATTTTTATTGAAAAAAAAATCATTTAATATTAAATAATGAATAATTTTTTAATTTTCAAAATAAAATATTGTTAAATGAATAAACTTGATAAATCTTGCTAAGTTACCTAGTGATATTTTACAGAACATGCATCTAATGACTTAAAAACCTTTATTTAATTATACTTGATATACTATAACTTATCACTGAGATTTCTCATCGTAAATTATAGCAAAAGCCAAAAAGTACAACCAACAAAATTTAAAAGATATGTGTAGTTATCAAAGTTCTAATAATAAACAAATACAAAGTTGTTTAAAAATATTCAATACAAAAAATATGACAATTATAATAATTAATCAAATATTTATAGCAACGTTCACCAATACAAGACCAAATTGTATATGGTTATTAAAAATATTATAGCTTTTTAGTATTTATTTTTGTTATTATATGTTCATAAGTACTTAATAACTAAATTCCAAAAACTAAAATTTTTAAGACGTGATTAAATTAATTATTAATTATTAAATTATAAATCATTATTTCGAATTACTGGGAAAAATACTGTCTTTACATTGATAGTCTATGATTAAAATATACTCTACAAAGGAAGTAAATATATATTATCACAAATTTATATCGTTTAAAATAATATATTAGAGTGAAAATACAATATAATTCAATAACTTTATAAATTATCTTTTAGCCATACATTCCAGTTGTATAATAAAAATTCAACAACAAGTTTATGAACTTTAATTTGTACGTAAAATACACCAAAAACTGGATTGGAATTATTACCTATGATCAATAAAATTGTACTTTCCGTTTATGCAAATATGAAATTGCAATTTGCAGGGCATCGCTCTTTTGCACTAAAATAAAAAAGGTATATTTTTACCGACAACCCATTTGCGCCAAATTTACCGGGTATAATTATAATAAAGTAATATATTTTTTCCTCAAATAATAATCAATAAAATGTTATTTAAATTATAGTCAATAGTACGAAATTTTAAAAAATAAGAACCAATAAATAATAATACAGATTATTTTAAACAATAGGTAAGTAATAAATAGTTAATAAGCTTATATTTTTTGAAAATTATAAACTATCGATAATCATAGTCAATTATACGATTTTAAATAACCAATTTGTTAATGTAAAATGTTTACGCAGGTAAATTTGGCGCTAATGGGCTGTACCCAAAATAAATAAATTTTTTTTGGCGCAAATGGGTAATCCCCCAATTGCATGTCGTGGGGACATAAATCTTAATTTACTTTTAAAAGTTAGAACATCTGTGAGATTTTTTTTTTAATTTTAATAAATCTTAAGTATTATAACAACACTTGTACGAATATGTTGTATTATACATGCGTATAGTGTTTATTTTCATATCAAAACCAAATAACCAATAACCACCATTTTATTGTTTTAATATAATTTTTTTTTTTTTTTTTTGTAAGATATGCATTTTTTATGCATACATTGTATTATAGAACACACAATAATTGATTAAACGATATTTATTTAAATCAGTAACCGTGACAAAAGTATGATCGAGATGCGGCCGCCATCTGAGTTTTTTATGGATTGTGTAAGTTTAGGTAATGGCCAATGAATAATAATTTATTACTAATTATTATTTTAATAATTACCATGATAGGTAATTAATAATATGACAATTAATGATTTTTTTTATATTTTTAATTTATAAAATATAGCTTCTTAAAAATTTAAAATTCGCCACGCCACTAATTTGAATTACACAATGAATTCTAACTTATTAAAATTAGTAATATATAACAAACACATATTATATTCCATGTAGATACTTAGCATTCCTCATCTTTATGAAAAAAATAACATGCTATATTTTACTTCAAACCTTTAGTAAAATAAAGTATTTTATAATTGTGTTGTTTTAAAATTAATTCCACGTAAGCCAAATATACAATTAAACCGAATTCTCAAAGCACATAACTTCATATTTAATTGTTATATTATGTAAATCTATTAAACGTAATTAGTATGGATGAATTTATTTATAACTGAGATAAAATTCCATAGTATATAAATAATAATGTTATGTTTTAAATAGGAGACATACCTATATTTTATAATAACGTCGTTTATTAGTACAACAGTAATACAAAAATACATAATAAAATGAAACTTCAAATATGCTAAGATTATAATACGAAATTAAATCAAATATTCGCGGATAGTATTTTTTTTCTGTTGATTCGTAAAATTTTGAAAATTAAGCACTAGGTTTCAAAGCACATATAGAGGCGTTTTAAGCGCAAATATTTTATTAGAGCGTCAATCGCATACTCAAAAGAAAGAACAAAATGTTAACATGATACCATAATTATTTATTACATAGGTCGTAAGATGATTATAATATGTACCTATGTAATACGTCTTTAGATCGCATGTCGTATATAATAACATGTATAATAATATTAAATGCATAGCATTAAGAGCGCGAATAATAATAATAATAATACAATGAGGAAATTCGAGATATTTTTAAAACACGATCGATTATCATCGTTACTGCAAACTATACAGTAATGTAATACGTAATAATTATTACTATTATAGTCGTTTTAAAGAGGATGAAAAAAGTTAACGAAATAATAGATCACAAGAATTTTTTTTAGCAATAAATGTATACGATAAACACCTCAATATAATAATAAATGTACATAAATCTTACGCTTTAAAAAAAAAAATCCGTTTCATCGGCGTATTATTATTATCGTACAAATGTATCGAACCTAATTCCCAAGTAATATAATATTATATATACTTGTTGACCATTACGATACACCAGTGCGTGATCTCGTCGGCCAGTCCGCCGTCTTTGGCGGTGAGGGAAACAGTGAAGTATATCGAGCGAGTCGTTGCATAATACAACGCATAATACGAGTATAGGCACACACATGCAAGCGTTATAATATTATATCTATACTGCACATCTACAGTGCGCGGGTCAACCCTTCTAGGCGATATCTGAACTACTCTTAAAAATAAACAACAATAATTACCTAAGTCCGTCTGAGTAGAATACATGAAATGTACCGCGCACTCCAATGGGTGGGTAGATGGTTAGGTGTACCACTGGCTACCTATATATAATCGTGCGTGCTTAGAACGTGACAACTTGTACGCCAGTAATCGTGAAAGAACGTATCCAATCGAGTCTATAACATAATATAATATATTATAATATTTAATATAAATATCTACGTGACTCCACAACCAACCGCAAAAATGAAAACCTCAGTAAGTACCTACATTTATTTGTATTTGTTTGAAATTTTTTTCGCGATTTCTGAAATATATCAGTAACATATTTTATTTATAACCATCTAACAAACTATAAAGTTATTAAATCTGTTTTGGCCACAACAGACGAGTTTCATCCGTACTCCTGTAAACTTTAATTTTTTTTACTAACGTCTGTCCGATATTTTTTTTGTTTTTTTTTTTTTTTTTTGTTTACCCCGATCAAACGTTATACTCTGCTGTATGGTTGCAAATATTTTTTGAAGATAAATATTAAATAATAATTAAGGATAAAATAGTAGCGCACAAACGTGTAAGTGTGTATATGTCCGATCATCGAAGACAAACAAACACCACGTTTAATACACGCCACATTCTAAATTCAAGAAAAATATTGACAACTACTATTAATGATTTTAAAATATAAACAAAATAGGTATCATTTATTCACAATATAATAACACTTGCGAAAATTCCCAGTTTACAATCGATATCTTAATTATCTTAATTTATTATATTTTAATACGATCTACCAAATATCAAAGATTTTTCGTTTCAGTATTTTAATTTAAAAAAAAATCCTCACAAATGCATAACATATTCTATAGAGTTGGCTAATATGGTTGTCTATATTCATTCATAATTTAATATGCTTTTATTGTAATTATTTAAGGTTGCTATTCTTTTGACCATTATTTCAATGGCTGCTGCTTCTCCTCTGTTCTTCGGACCTAAACATCAGTAAGTAAAATACATATTATTATATTTTATTTTATTATAAATTATTTTTAAACAGCAATTAATATCTAACAAGGGATTTCATAATGCATAATAAAATAACGAAAATTATGATGTATACACGTTTATTGTTTAGCATTTAACTTGAAAATGTTTTATCATACAATATATTATGAAAAACGAGTATAAAACTTTTAGAAGTAGTATATATTTAAGACTAGGTAACTTAAATATGTATAAATATATAGTACATACCTAAAACAGATACAAAGATACAATATACACATAATTATCATAAATTTTATATGATGTTTATATTTTTAATTTTGAAATTAGATAAGTATTGATGTCTAGTAGTACAAAATATTTGAACTATATATAATATACTTATATTTGAAATGTATATTATGTCCTTTATTGTAAACTTTAAGCTTTAACCCGACAATAATATTTTTTTCATTTTTATGCAAAAAAGCTAAAAATCTTATTTTAATACTAAACAAATATCATAAATTTCCATTATATTCTTATGAATCTAAAAATGTATATGTAGAAATAATGAGCCTTTACAATGCTTGAAGATGTTTCATAAGAAATTAGTATTCACCGAAACCAATTTTTTTAAAGTAAAATCGTGATGATTCTATACATAATATACATGTAATTTTATTTTGAAAAAGTCACATAATATCATCAATCATGGTTTATTATCAATTTTATAAATTTCCTCGAAAATGCACAGTAATAAATTATTTAGGTGCGCAGTATGCGAATTTTATATAACTTGTCTGAAATTGGCTATAATTGCTTACTCTTTCAAAATCATACTATAAAATATATTATTTTGTACAGCATTAAAATTTAAATCCCTAGATAACTTATAACGTCTATGTTAATAAATCAATTAAAAACACTATTAACATTTGTTTTATCAAGTATTAACCATTGTTTATAATTTTTAGCGAACACCACATTATCCACGTACCATACCATGTACACAAAGTACCAGTTTACATCAAAGAACCCGTATACATCCAAAAGCCCGTCTACATATACAAGACAGTTGATCATCACGATCATCACTATCACCATGATGACCACTATGATCACGATGATCATTATGACAGTCATTGGTATTGATAAGACTAATAATAATAATTTTTAAGAGTTAAAAACATTTAAAAATTCAAAACCTGCAATTTATTTTTGTAGTATAATAATAATATAAGTTGTAAACCGTTAACTTAAATCCATTTTTTACCATGTAAAATAATATCTATTGTTATTGCTTCTTTCAATTTACCTCATTGTTTTATTTAGTTCATTCAATGTAGTTCTTATATTGTTATTTTTCTGATCGGCACAAAAACAATTTTATATTAATTTTATTATTGACTATTGTGTCTCATTAAAATAAAAAAAAAATTAAATGATAACATATAAATATAACATTGTATTTTCCTGAATCATATATATGTATATATATTTTCCTTATTAAATCATTTCCATTGATCATATAACATACAAAACATATAAAATACTAATATACTATACAAACCACAAATTTGTTTAATATTGATATAATCACCATTCACCAAATTCTGGAAGCATTCGTTTCAGATCATTAAATAATCTCATCGCTAAATAATATACTGTGTAAATGATAAATAATAATTGTTAATATTTGGGCCACGGTGATCATTGCGAAATCGATTGCCCGAGGTAAAAACTGGTGCCAGTTTTTTTAAATGTAAGTTCACATAGTAACATTGTTGTGCAGTTTAGTATTTCTTTCTTAATTGATAACGCGGTCATATTTAAGCTTGACATTCGTTCCGATTTGGCAGGTACAGTACTGATTTAAACAGCATGTCCTTATGTCCCGACGAGTCATTCAGCTTGTCCCGGTTAATAAATTTTAGTTTAACTTGTAATGTTTTTTTACAAAAAAATAAAGAAACAAAAAACTGATTTGAAAAAAATGCATTCTAGTGAAAACTAGAATAAACATATATAACAATTATACTATTTAGGTACATCAAAAAGAATAAAAGTAACTAAAACAAGGGCATCATTGGGGGGATCAGGGTGTGTGGTTACACCCTTTACTTTTAAAATAGTACTAACTTGGCCTGTGCCTTGCAGAGATAAAATTCAAAATTAAATCTTCTTAAATGATATTTTTATTTTGACATTTATTAATATTGGTAGGTATGCTATCAATTATTATGATTATTAATTATTTATTATGTTTTATTTTTTAAATTGATTTTTTCTATTCATATTGATACAATAATTCAGTACATACAATATATAAAAATAATTTAAAGCAAGATTATGTATATATACGTATATCTATTTTAATATAGCCCGATGAAATTTCAAAATGGTCTGCTTGAAACCTCGCACACCCAAAAAACAAAACTAAAATGACACCCCTGATCTAATAGCGAATATGAAATTTTGAAATTCAAAACTTATTCCTTAACCAAGATTTTGCAACAAATGTGGTTTTTATAAAAAAAAAAACAATTTTTCGAGACACTTTGTTTTAAATTTTTCGAAAATCAAATTAATAAGTACATTAAAAGATAAAAAAACATTCTACTAAATACTATAGCTTGTTTCAAACAAATTTAAAAACACCTTACACTCTAAATAAAAGGAATTATTGGGATTTTATCAACAAAAAATCAACAGGTGTCTGTAAGCCGTAAAATAAAGATAAATTTTGTATTTTTACTTTTTTTATGCTCATTATTTTCTGGCATCACATCTATTTATTGAAGACGTCTTATTTTTGAGAATAATGTTTAGTTTATTTGACACATTGTGAATTTGTGAATAGCATTTATATACTTTCTTACTCTTCTGCAGGACCTACATACAAATTAATTGTGAACAAGTATTTTCAAAACTTTGGATTTTTAAAACTTAAATTTTTAATAAGCTAACAAAACCTGGATCATTTAACTTTGCTATTTGTTGAAGAAAATATTATCATCCAATTTATAAACAATGAAGATAAAATTACTAATACCTTAGTATCTTCCAGCAAACAATGTAAAAAAACAACCATTTCAATAGGTAATAATTTAATAATTTATTTGATTAATCTTCATTGAATATGTTTTTTCAATAAGATGTATTATTTTCTATATTCTACTAAATGTATAAGTACCTACCAAAAAATTATAAACAATTATATAAAACACGTAAAATATTGTTTTCTGCAGTAGATCGTATTTACTTTTAATAATTATAATAGCAAATAGGTAGGTAATTTTAAAGTAATAAATCATTTTTAATTAAAAATAAAATAATTGTATTATAATGTATTAAAAAGCAGTTCAATTATTTTAAAGTTTATATTGGACGTAGGACTGGGAACCAATAAAAAAACCACTGAATCAAAGACCCAATCAAGAATCACACCGACACTAACTAGTGTAATTAAATCCAAATACGTGGATTAGAGCCTTGGATCTTTTGCTACAGATTCTCCTGCCCCATAAGTCATAACCGTAAAATAATTATATTTTAATATAAACAACATAGAAATAATCCAGTATGATTACCATTGGAACAAGTTGAAGAAAAGTAATTATCTACGATATTATTATTATTATTATTATATGTAGGTATGTGATGTCATCGGGAAAGCACGTAATACTATGTAGAGGCGCTATTTCATAAGTTGAAATATGATTTATTTCGACCAAAAGGTATGAGAAAAAATCCCCAGTGATAATAAAGTGAATACAATTATTTCAATATTTCAATATTTTTGAAAGTCGACCACTATTTTTAATACTAGGTATATAATTACTACACATTGTTACTGATCACCTTCATTTTGTTTAACACACGTTACATATACCTACGAGCTACATTAATTATCGCGAAATTAAATCAACAATTTTATTGTTTCTTTCTAACCGTTTTGATCATAATAATCGTCGCTTTTAAAAAGGTAGATACATTATTACATTAATTAGGTATTGTTACGTGATTATAAAATAGCCGCGCGCACGAGCTTGTTGCTTTATTATAATAAAAAAATAAAAATAGTTGAGTTGTTTTTCTATACTAACATACTGTGATCACACCGGTGATAAGCTGATAAGATATGATTAAAATTTTAAATTTAAAATTAAGTACCTACCTACACGTCCTACACCACATAAATGAAAAACAATAATTTTTTGTAAACTAAATGTTTAAATTTTTTCTAAAAGTGTTAAAAATAAATTAAATTCTTATATAGGTAAGCCAGGTAAGGTAATGAAGCTAAGATATTATTGTTCTGTAGTAATTTTGATGTGTAATTTATCAGTTTATTTTGAAATAATTCCTTACCTATTTAGGTATAACTTATAAGTAATAAATTAATACATCAAAAGAGATTATTAAGTATCAGTTCTGAAATTGTAATTGATACATTAAATTTATAGTTAATTATTATTTTAATTACCGTTCTTTAGTAATTTTTTTTTTTTTATTCAGCATTTCATTTTGATTAAAATGCTTGGATCTTTAAGAAATAAACGTTCTTTGACCGATAAAATTGGTTCTAATAAAGTTGAAAATAATGCACAAATAGTCAAAAAAAGAAAACATTTGACAATAAAATCTGATAATGAAAAAACATCAAACTCTGATTGGAAACCTCCAAATTGGGAAAAGACATTGGATAATATAAGAAAAATGCGTAAAGATATTATTGCACCTGTAGACAATATGGGATGTGATCAAGCTGCAGACCTAAACGAATCACCGGAAGTATGAACTTATAATTTATATTAAATTATATTTTCTACCTATTTTATTGAAGTGAAATAGCTAAAAAAGATCAAAGGCTTGTAATGAATGAATGATATTCTTATTGAATTTGATGTCAAATATTTAAGTTATTGAGTTATTCAATTCAATTCTGTTTTTTTTTTTAATATGTTAAATGTTTGTATGTTTTGATTATCAATACTATAGGTGATTAGATATCATGTACTTATCTCATTAATGTTATCGAGTCAAACAAAAGATGAAGTTAATTTTGCAGCTATGCAACGTTTGAAACAGTATGGTCTAACTGTTGATAAAATTTTAGAAATTTCAGATAAAACTTTGGGAGAACTTATTTATCCTGTTGGATTTTGGAAGGTAATATTTTGTTTATATCTACACAATTAAAAATTTGTTAATTTCTGTTTTAATCATAGAAATCAATTATGTTAAATATTGATTTTATTTTCTATTAGAGGAAAGTTGAATATATCAAGCGTACAACTCGTATATTAAAGGATATATATAATGGTGATATACCAAGTACAATAAAAGACCTATGTCAGTTGCCTGGGGTAGGTCCTAAAATGGCTCATCTCTGTATGAGTTGTGCCTGGAATGAAGTTACTGGAATTGGTATGGTATAACTTTCATGTTATAATTATTTGAAAATCATATTAAATTTAACATAATTTTTAAATATTACAGGTGTGGACACCCATGTGCATAGAATAAGTAATCGTTTGGGGTGGGTAAAAAAAACTACAAAGACACCAGAAAATACACGTATGGAATTAGAATCATGGTTACCTAAAGATCTTTGGCGTGAAGTTAATCACATGTTAGTTGGATTTGGACAGACTATATGCCGACCCGTAGGTCCTCAGTGTGTTTCTTGTTTAAACAAAACAACTTGTCCTTCTGCTGTATTAAAAAGTCCATCAAAAAAAAAGGATTAAACATGTATTTAACAATATCCTATTTTCAGTATTATTAAAATCTCGTTGATATTATCTATTTTTTTTTTTTTTGTTTTTATGATTTGCTAATAATTTTTTATAAAAAAGCATTTATTAAGATTTCTTTTTATATTTTGTAACCGATTTTATCATTATTATATTACATTCTGAATAGTATTTGATACATGATAATTATGTTGAATAATATTTTTAAAAATATGTTTGATTTTCCTATTATTTATTTATGTGTGATTTTAATTTAAGATTTCTATTAAGATACACCTTAGTTATGGAAATACAAAAAATAATCAAAATAAAAACGCCTGTTTAATGATTTAATAGATAAAATATTTCTTCTGAAAATATTTTATACAATATTTTTTGTTAGAATTTTAAAATGTTAATTATAATCAACATATCACACTACTTTGAGTAATTTACTATAAATTAAAATAAACCACAAACAACACCAAATCAACTCAACTATTGTTACTTTTAATAATAGCTTAGGTTTTATAACATTAATCAGTGGCATATTTCCCAATAAAGAATGTAAGTACATGCTTACAGCGCAATATTTTAAGGGCTTAAAATTTATGTCGTAGTGGTATTTTTTTCTTTTACAAATTTTTAAAAGTTAGGAGACATATTATATGAAACAAACTTTGCACATTGTTTAAATTATTAAAACTCAGAACATGCCAATTACCAATTCATCAAGATTCCAAAATAAAATTGCATATAACAATTAGAAGAGCCTTTTCAGTATCACCTATTAGAATAATTTTTGTCAAATTTAAACTAGATTTTTGAAATAAAGGTTTAGATAATCAGTATGTTATTTGAAACTGACTCCAAATAAAGCCATTTTGATTATTTAATATTTTCTTAGTACCTACTACCTACCCAATAAAATAATATTATTTTTAATTATTTATCTTTTTTACATTAAAACGCATCAAGAACTATTTAAGGTCCAGCATGGATGAGAATAGATTGAAATTACTGAGTTTCTTAGCAATAGAGACAGAATTAGTTCATGGAACTGATTTTAATGATGAAGTAAATAATTTTAGAGTTCAAAAATAATGCTGAAAGCCATTTATTGTGTAGATAAAAAAAAAAATTAATCTATATTATTAACGTTCTTAAAAAAATGTATTTTTTCACAGTATAGCTTTTCTTTTTTATTAGTACACATTTTAATATATATTTTTTTGTACCATACATATATAATACATGGGTCATGTATTAATACTAAATTTTTATTTCATACTTTATAATTTGTAATATTTGAGAAAAATGTCAATAACATGTATACATCTAATTCTTATAATTTTAATACTATTATATTATAATTTGATGATTTCAAAAATAATAAAAGCTCTTATCAAAATATAAAATAAAATTATTTGTTTAAATACCTAAAAAGGCAAAAAAATTGTTGTACTTACAGCAGCACAGTAGTTAAATCCATCACTAACAATAATACAAATATGCTTATTTATAATTAGGTATTATGAAATAAAAAATTAAAATTTAGAAAATTATCTAGGATAAAAAATGATATGAAAATCATACCTAATTCACATATTCTAACTACAGTAAAATAAAAAAAATATTGATAAACTGCAAAGTGTACTTATGCCATTAATATACATTTCCTTTTTATTATTTTTATGGTTTCATCAATTCATCATAAATTATCTAATTATGAGAAAGCTTATTTTAAATTTTCAAAATTTAGGTTTAGAAAAAAAATTTTAATAAATTTCCAACTGCAAAATAGTTATAATTTTTTGCAATTTTAACGAATTTTATTAAAAATTTAAATTTTAAATGCGTACAAAAAAAAATGTTGTTTATGTATTTTTGAATATTTTTATATAGATATAATAACAAGTAACAACTCATGTAGTTTTTATTAAATTTTAAGAATTTTGATATAAATAGCTCGAAAATGCCAAAATATTTTGAAAATTGTTATATAACGAAAATGACGGTATAAACATTTGGTGAAATTTTCAAGTATCTACGGTTATTTCTATTCGTTTTCAAATTATACAAAATCAATTTTGTCAAAAATTGGATTTGTTTAAAAATTCCTGTTCTAAGTGTTCTATCATCACTTTTTTTTTTTAATTATACAGATTACAAAAAAAGGACTATGAATTTTTTACTTTAGATCTTTTAAAAAAGTTCAAACTTCAGAGTACTAACTATATAGATTCAATTTGTTACCAGTTTTACTGATCCAAAAAGTGATAAGATACATTCAATTCAATAATTTAATATAAGAAATCTTGTAAAAATAATTATTTGCCCCTTTAGTATTGAAATGTTAACAGAACGTTAGTTCTATAACCTTTAAGCTTTAATTATGCTAACAAGTAATAAGTATGAAGTAATAACTAACACCAGCTTCGAATTAGGTACTTAATACTTATTAAAATTAAACTGCTTTTTTTTTTCATTAATAAAGTGCTACACGGAGCACGTGTATCAATATTCGATTGTGTGATAGTAAGGTTGTGATACGATACCACAGAATTATTTATTCTGTGATACTACGATGAAATGATAGTGATTAATGTATATTATGAATAGTGAATACTTAGTGATTTTGATGTGACTATTATGAGATTTATGGAGAAGTGGACCCGGCTTAATGCTTTCAACTCTTTTGAGTAAGACAAAATAATTATATGAACGTTTGTTATAAATTTATGTTATGTTTCATGTTTCAACCATAATTTAATTACTAAAAAAATATTTATAATATAATTATGTATTTTCATGTTTCAAAACTTATAAGTAGTTATAACTTATCTCTACCTACTTCATTATTAATTGACCTAAAGCTATATCACACTTTGTATACCTAAGTTATCTTTGTTTTAGATATTCTATCTAAATAATTTATTTTTTAATCAAATAAAATTTTTATAAACAGTACCCAATATAATTTAACAATGAAGACGCAACTAGTTAGTGGCTTGGAAGAATAAAGCACCTAAATATTTTTGTAGCTCCGTTTAATATAAAATATTTGATTGGTAATAATTGTCACAAATAATGTTTTTTACAATTTGGCTAAGAATAATCAGTACAAAGAGTAATATGAACTAAAAAGTGTTCGTTCACTATGATAATATTATTTAAAATTGCATCAAATTATTTTGGCCCAGATGGATAAAAAAACATACTAAATATTGGAGGATATTTAATTATAAATTACTTATTTCTTTATTAATAATTTTATATATTTATATACTTTGCTTAATAATATACCTAGTACCTACATCATAAAATAAAAATGTCAATATCAAAGTATTAACAATTATGATTGTAAATTATAATAATTAGTTATAAGTGTTACCAATAAGTTAATTTTTTTTTTTAATTAGGTTAACCAATTTTTTTTATCAATATTGACTATGCATAAATGTGATAAGTGTAACAACGATTTTACTCTCAGAAAAAATTTAAAAAGGCACATGGAGAATGTACATAAAACAAATTTGGAATCTATTCCAAAGAAAAGTAATAAAACTACTAGAGAATCCAAACATAAATGTCCTATATGTAAACTTGCTTTTGTTGAAAGAAGTTCACTTAGACGACATGAAAGGATAAAACATAAAATAAACATTACGGCTCCGTTAAGAACCAAAAAGTAAGTACATTGAAGGTATACTATATTTTTATATTATTTAAAGTCAATCATTCATTTAATAGATTGTTTGAATTAATTTTTTTGAAAGATAATTATCTGATACTATTACTAATTATTAATATTTATACATAATAATAATACTTAATTAGATTATACAGGTATAAATAAAGTAAAACAATAATTACCTAATTTTATTTTCAGATCAACTAATTGCATAACATTTGAGCCCAGCAACTTGGAAAATTATCCATTACTGAAGGTATTAATTTTTAAATACATAATATGATAAAAATTAGTTTAAACTGTTGAATATTTTAAGTTAATAAATATAAATGATATTATTTAAGAGAACATTATACCAACATGTGTTGTTAGTTGCTACTAATTACCTTTAATATTAGAATATTGCCAAATAAAAAAATAAAAAAGAATACTTTTATTTACAGAATCTAATATAAACTTTAGTAGGTTTTTATTAATTTGAATATAATTTTTTTTAATTATTAATTTTAAAGTGAGCTATAACTAGATGAAATAGTAACATTTTAAAATCCTTATTACATTCTTAAATATTTAAATATTAATAAAAACCTACAATATACCTGTATTCCGTGGTAACCTTAACACATTACATGTGTTAGTACATGACATGAGTGCATTGTTACAATATTGTTGGATTCTTATTTTTTTTTTTTTTCATACATAATATATCTTATTATATAAGAGATAGACCTCTCTTATTTTTATTATACCAATGACAAGGTATAATGGAATTCGATATAATTAAGTATTTACAGTGTTAGATACTATGTGTAGATTCTACATTCAATAATTTTATCATTAATATTTATTTGTCAGTTTTTATCATTCATACGAAATGTACTAGCGTACAGTACTTTAATCAACAGTCGTTTATTTACTACCACTCAAATTCAACATCAACCATTGCAAAATTTTAATACAAAATAATTATTATTTTTGTTATTAAAACACAAAATGTTTTATAAAAAAATATTCTAAGAAAATTGGTAAGGAGGTCTGTGATTTCTAAAAATCTTTAATTAAGGGTCTGTGATCTACAAAAGGTTAAGAATTGCTGCCTTAAATAATATTCTTATCTTTAAATTTGGTAATACATAAATTAAATTTGATAACATACCTTGAGACTGCCAATTTACTAACAAAATCTACCCTTCCAGTCTTCCCTAAACTGCCATTTAATTTACATGATATTCTGATCTGACTTTTAAACAACATTTAAAAAAGCCGTTAATAAATTTATGATCTAACTGTTAAGAAAGTCTTCTCTCTCATTTTGCCACTTAGTGTAGAGACATTTTACTATCAATCTTTTAACTTTTCTATTTTAAAAAATCTAAACTAATGATTTTATACCAAATTTACCAAAAAAAATAAAAATATTTATAAACTAAGAAAAAACTAATAAAAAATATTTCTAAAACTTTAAAATTATGAATTTGTAATTAATAAAACTAAAAAAAACTTAGAAATACTGACTTATCTCATTTGTATTATAATATAAAAAAATATTAGTTTTGGAAGTTTTCCATCATTGGATTACTTTCAAAATTTAAAAATTAAATTTACAATGAACTATATAAATCTAAACACAAAAAATTTAAATAATTAACTATAAGATATTAGATTTAAAAAAATGTGTTGGATTAATGTTTGTAATTAATTTCATTATTCAATTAAATAAAACTATATACCCTGAGTTTAGTTCAGTTTGAAAATTTTACATTTTTTAATATCACTTCAAGTATTATAAATATGATATTATATTATTGGTATATTAATTATTTTTTATTATTCTAGAAATTAATACCTGAAAATTATGTTTACAAAGTTAATAGCTTACAACATTATGAAAATGGTTCATTGAAATCAACATTTGAAATCGCTGATTGTGCGGAGAATGTATTTTTTCCATGGTTATCAAAATTAGAACAGAAATCTAAGGTTACATACAGAGTTAAATCATTCACTAAATCACCGAGCTCAAAAATTATATTTAATGTAAATATTTATCAACTTATTAAATTATTTAATATTTATTTTTTAAACATTTAATTATTTTCAGAAAGTTTATAGATGCATTCATAATACATTTCCCAATAGGTATCGAAACCCTCATCCGAAGCACACAGGATGTCTTGCCACATTAACTGTAAGAATAAAAAAATGTAGTGAAGCTTTGTAAGTGTCAATTTATAAATAAGTATAAGTATAATAACAATAAATTAAAACTTAATTACTGTTTGTAATTCATTTTAGATCTGTTAAAAATACAATGGCTGATAATAATGTGATATTAATTCCTCTTAAAGCAATTGTGACACTCAATCATTGTCATAATCATATACTAACAAAAGATGAGAAACTAAGAAATACTCCTATAAAGATTCGCACAACAGACAAGAAATTGCGTACTATACATTTTATCAAATTTAACAGTCTACAGCAAAATACAACATCTTGTTATTCACAAGTATCTACCAAAAATAATAAAATTAATAATAGTACAACAGAACTGGTTAAAAAGCTATCTGTATTAGACAAATCTGAAAAAAAGCTTGTAATAGATGATAATGAAAGAATAGAGCCTATTGAAATTGATAGTTTTGAATCTACTGAAGAATATGATAAATATATTTTAGTTGAAAATGTATATACACAAAATGTGTTACATGATAATAATGAGAGTGAACTAAACCAATTAATGTCTGATTATGATACAATTAATACAAGAATTTTGCAAAAATTTGCATCAAACCCTAATTATTTCAAGTCGGCAATAAAACATTACACATTAGCAATGAAAAATAGTTTGACTTCTAAAGAGTCTTTATTAAATACATTGCATTTATTTGGCGAACAGTTGAAAGAAAAACAAAATTAATATTCAATTTTTTTGAAAAAATTATAACATTATAGACTATTGTAAGTTTTAACCTATTTGTTTAAACTTATAAACAATAGTAATATTTGATAAATTTAACTTTAAAAAACATGTTTGTACCTATAAAATGAGTTAAAAAATATTTATTGATTTTAAATAATTTTATCAATTTTGATACAATATTAATGTACAATTTTTTCTCAGTTAACCATAGTCATTGATATTTTTAATAATGAAATATATAGATTTATTAATCATTAATTTTATTTTTAAAAACCTTACAAATTTAAAAAATCTTGAATATAGTATTAATAACTTATTTTCAGTAATTTATTTGTATAATTATTTTTTACACGAATTTATATAAATATAATACCTACTATTTATGAATTAATCTATATAAGTAACCTATAATAATAATTAATTACTATTATAAATTTGTATTATACAACTACTCTTAATATGTGTTTAAATAGAGGATTATCTATAATTGATTGTAGAAATATACAAGTAGTTTCATATATATCTAAGTATTATCTATAATATCAGAGGTTGCAAACCTTTTTTGGGTCAAATTTTTCAAATCAATGTTTTAAAAATTTTTCGCATGAGTAAATTATATTTTCTAAGGATAAAAATAAAATTATATAATAAATATAATAATATAATACATTTTATAAATAGCATAATTTTTTCACATGCCATTGAAATTTGACCAACGTGCTGTAGGTTTGTTATCCCTGATCTATATATTAACTGAAGTATATAATAATTTCATACAAATACGCTGCATACATATTATATTTTTTTTATATATATTAGAATATTATAATATTGTAACTTAAATTATTGTAGGTATTGTAAAATTGGACATTATTAATATTTTATTCTATTTTTTTTTTTTTTTTATAAGGTAGTCCATATTTATATGACAATTTTATTCGGTCATATTTTATATACCAAATAGACATGTAAGTTTAAAAGTATACTTGTACTTATTGTGAGTATTAACTGTTCTTTCCTGTACCTAATTAAATTATTAAACGTTTTGATACAGTAGTTTTGACTGTATTCAAAAAAAATTTGTTCGTTTTGTTAAATTCTAATGAAAGGTGAAATATTTATATTTTGAGTGTCCTTCATATTGTAAATACCTAAATTAGAAAGCAGCTAACTGTTGAACGTTTGTCGTTTTAAAATAATTATTGTGTTCATTGATTTTGGCGGGAATGAGATAGTGGATAAAAAAAACGCGGTAAAATCATGTTGGCAATGGTGCACACACGGACGTCGTCCAATCACCGTTGCCGTTATTCTCGCCAATCGCATCTCTTGTTAGATACTCTATTGGCCAATCAGCGACCCCGTTACTGTCACCCGTCCGCCACTGCTTTGATCAATGACGTAGATCTCTCCACCACAAACAAACCGTCGCCATTGTCTAATCGCTAGTACAGTTCATTGTCGTGTTGTGGTTTGTCTCCGTTTCTAACGTCGTCCGTTTACATTCACCGTTCATCAGTCGTTTGTTTTATCTTTTGATTTCCACAGGCACCACTTACGCGTAGTAAGTATCGTAGGACCTCAAAATTATTCTAGCCTTTTTGTCAACTCACTAGTTTTTGCTGTAAAATAATATCCATCGGGACGTCACGACTTGGTCTGCAACCAGCCCTGCCAGACTTTTGGCGCCGTCTTTTTGTCCTCTTCCACCTTTAGTTTCAGTGTGTTAAATATTTGAATGCAAGTTGTGTTGATTTCCGAATTTGTTTCAGTTGAAACATGGCTCGTACCAAGCAAACCGCTCGTAAATCTACTGGAGGTAAAGCTCCCCGTAAACAATTGGCCACCAAAGCTGCCCGCAAAAGCGCACCCTCCACTGGTGGAGTGAAAAAACCTCATCGTTATCGTCCCGGTACTGTCGCTCTTCGTGAGATCCGTCGTTACCAAAAGTCCACTGAGTTGCTGATCCGTAAGTTGCCGTTCCAACGTTTGGTCAGAGAAATTGCCCAGGATTTCAAAACAGATTTGCGTTTCCAAAGTGCGGCTATCGGAGCTTTACAAGTAACATTATTTTAAAAGTCTTGTTTATATCGTAGGTTAATACAATTATAGTTTAATTATCTATTTTTCTTATTTCTTTCAATAAATTCGATTTTGGTATTAATTGTTTGTATATGCTTACTATTTCATATAACTATTTTATTGAACAATGTTACTGATATCACTAACTACATTTATCATACGTTTTCTAATATTCAAATTGTAATCATTTCAGGAGGCCAGTGAAGCATACTTGGTTGGTTTGTTTGAAGATACCAATTTATGCGCTATCCACGCCAAACGTGTCACCATTATGCCTAAAGATATTCAATTGGCCAGACGTATTCGTGGTGAACGAGCCTAATTCATCCATTACATTCCTCTCAAGTGTATTTTTTTTCGTTTGACAAGTTTCCTGGGTTATCTTTATACATATACATTTTTTTTTCAAAAATAATAACTAGCTATTACTGTCAATATGTGTGTGTGTGTAATATTAATTTGTAGGAATCCTTAATTTTTTTTATACATATTTAATTATAAGCTAATGTTCATTTAAAGAGACAATTGTTTTGAACGGCAGTAGCAGCATTTACCTTTATATTACATATAGTAAATATTCTTGTTTAAGTCGTTCAAAAACATAATGTTTTTTTTTCATACCCACATTATATACTTAATATATTTTGAATAAATAGGCAACTAAGTAGATTATATGTAATAATTCATTAATCATACAATTAAAACAATATTAAATTATGATAATATGCTATTTAATGTTTTAATTGTATTAAATAATTCTGTTGCTTAAGAATCTAGTTTTTAAAATATAAGACATTTTTTTTTTCTACTTGTGGTTTCGATGATTTTGTTTTGTGTTTAAGATTTCTATCCATTTATCAATATATGCATTAAATTACATAACATCCATTTCTAATAAATGCTATGAATTAATACATATAATTTGAGGTATGTATATTTAAAAAAAAAATGATATTCTTTAAATTTTTCACTTATTACTATAATGTTGTGAAGGTTTATTAGATTCTATTGTTTAAAGTAGTATATAACTTGAAATGTTTTATGAATTACTGATACATTTTGATATAGTAACTACACCTAATTAATATAGTATAAAACATTTACAAGTACTACTGTATTTTTTTGATCAGCCATCAATTACGGTATTTAAATTTAGAGTTTTAAAATATTGGATGTAAATTATGAAATGTGGTACTATGATATATCATATGTAGGGCCCGGATTCCAATGCAAAATGCATCATTTTTTGATTAATCCTAGACAATGCTTTCCAAGTTTATAATTTGATTCATGTAACAGAGACTTCAAAGGTGAAATTTTTATTTTGCTTTTTTTTGCATATTTCAATATTTTTTCATTTTTAGAGCATTTTTAGCATTTTTGGGTCATTTTGTTGGTTTTTAATGCATATGTGTTCAATATACTATACAAATTTAGCCAATTCAAAATATTATCTAAAAAAAAATTATTCGATTCAGTTTTTATCTTATTGTTCAATGCAATTCTCAAAATTTAGTAAGAACAATAGGCTATTACTTAGAATTTAATTTTTAATATATATGTATTTTGGTATGTTTAGAATGAATAATATTTCTCCAGAACGACCAAAATACATACGAGTCAACTTCAATCAAATGTTCAGTTTTTTTTTTAATAAAATAATAAAAAATAATTAAATCTTATTTATTAATTACAAATTGTATAAAAAATATATGTCATTTTTAAAGTCATATTTTCATTTTTAAGGTCATTTTTGTAGAAAAATGCATTTTTTTAAGGGCATTTTTGGCTATTTTTTAGAGCATATTTGTATGGTTTTAAGTGCATTTAAATCCGTGCCCTAATCATATGGGTTCTAATTAAATGTACATTTTCATAATATCTACTAATTCAACATTTCACTACAGTAAATAATATAACAAAATTTTAAACTATTATCATCTGTATTCATTTTGGGAGAATTTTAATTATTTAGTAGTTTGACGTATTTAGATAAAAATGGTATGTCAGCTAATGAGTATGATTTTAAAATGTATTTATAATCAATGCTACTACCTACCTAATATGATTTAATAATACTATTTTTTTCTGCTTGGTCTCGGATTTGCTTGATATAATTATGGCAACTCTAAACCAGTTGAACTCTATATATATTAGAAATTTAGAAAAGTATTGTTTGATTTATTTGTTGTCGACGACAACGCTGTATTATATTATACTAACTTTTCTGCACATTTAATTTTATAAATTTTATTATTAAATTGTGCATATACGTGCATGATAAAAATGTAAGTAAACGACGTGCAATTCGGATACAGCCAATCGCTTAAAAATGATTTTTACTAAATGGGTTATTTTTGACACCTATATTAATACAATAATATTGAAGATGTCTTAAATCAAAAAATCAAAGAGTAATAGGTAATAAATAATAATTATCTAATAGATACTTCATTCATTACTATTTTTTTCTTTCATTCACAAAGATTTATCTACAAGTAAATGGTACCCAATACTAATGTGTTTTTGTAAATAGTACGTTATTCAGTTACCCGCAAATATTCCACCTTAAATTTTTAAAAGGGCTTTTGAACTTTCTACATTAAACTTGGGGCGATTCTAAACTCCGCCAGTTTTTTTTTTTTTGTTTAGTTGCTCAGTGCTCACATTGTCTCGTGCCTTTAATGTGAACGATATGATATAATAATTGATAATAATAAATTATAATTTTTTTTAAAAACATATATTAATTTTATACTACTACTTGATTATTTTCACTGGTGGAGTTACAGTAAAAAAAGGTATTTGTGGCGGAGTTTACATACGCCATGAGCTTGGAACAATCTGAGCGTCATAGGCGCAATTTGCGCGAGGGGATGACTTGTATGTGCTTAGCACCCCCACATTTTTTCACATTAATTTAGATTTTAACATTCGGTATGTATAGAATAACGGAGTATTTATTGTATTATTATACTTAATCATGTGATAAAACTTTGTGTATATTGATGAAGACGGCAATAAAAATAACATATAATACTGTAATCATTTCTTAAAAAATACAAAATCTATTATAAGTGAACAATTCACTTTAAATTTTTAATTGGTGTTTATACTACAGCGGTGACAATACCTACCAGTAATAACACCAACCCGAACGGGCGTGCGTTCAGCGAACTCATCGCTGAGCGCATTTGCAGTGTGCTATTCACCTATACCCCAATATGCTATACCTATTCTATTAGTATAATTTTATTATTGATAAATGATAATTAATTATTTTTGATAAAACTCAAAGGAGAATAATGTTAGAGTGAACTGTATAATCAAGTTATAATACAAAAATAAATGTTCATATATTAGTTATTGCGCATATTAATTATTTTTTAATTAAATTACAATATACTTATCCTACATTTTATATAACCAATATTAAATATGCAACTATTGAATGGATATTGTATGGGTTGCAGCCTACAGATATATTCATAGGTCATAACCATAATCCATAAGATAACATGAAAAAAAAATAGAGAGGTTTCAGCATTCGGGCAAATGTAAACTGGGCCCGTGATTACCTATTTTGTTGTAAACTCGGCTCCAAAAATTGTAGGCTATAAATTAGGTAAATTGTAAACTTGGCCCGGAAATTTCAGGTAATAAAAAAGGTCGGGTGTAATCTCGGCCCGATAATATTTAAGTATAAGTTTTAATTCTACTCGCCCCAATATATATGCTGTCACTGCAAAATTAAAAGAACTACAATAAGAAACGTACATTAAAATAAACAGCCTAGATGCACCATTTCAATTTCAAAATACAAAAACTAAAAAAAAGAGAACTCTTAGAAAAAGCACTTACAAAATATAAAAATAAAGAAATATCAGTGAGTGAAAATGTTAAACACATGGATTTTTACTTGAAAAAATAGATTTATACTTTCATTATTATACTAAATTTTTTTACTTATATTTTACACAACAGTTTTACTTATATTTTTGCATTTTTTACCCTTACAAATACACACTTAAAGACATTTAAATTTATACAACGAATTTTATACTATGAATAATTATAATATGAAAATGAAAATAATTTTTGGAGGATAATGAGAATCACCTCCTTGTGGTGTCCTCTGTGTAATGCCAAATGGTTCTCAAAAGTATTATAAGAAAATTAACTGTACAATTTTATTCGGGCCGAGTTTACACCTAAATTATTTTTACCTAAAAAAACTACGGGACGAGTTTACAATAGACCTTTTCAAAAAAATTTTTCCTCGGACCGAGTTTACAATCGCCCCAGCATTCAGTTTTTTCATTGAAATTGCGCCACTGCAGAGCGTGTTCTCATATAATTACGATAATGTTAAATTAAATAGTTCATAGAAAGTGCAGTATTTATGAGTATAGAGCACAACTAATATATAGATTCGTTTATGTAAACCTGCTGTTTGCTAGTTATAAATAGTTATGCAAAACAACTTACTTTGAGGCGTGTAGTGTGTTACCTTTATTATAAACACGGCTACAGGTATATTATCTTATTAGTTATTGTGTTTTAAAATATCCTTCACTCGAGATCGCTATACTTCTTTAAATGTTCAACTTAGTGAACCTCAAATTATTTTCCCATTTAAAGTTCATTCAAAATATGTATTTTAATTAGAATTATTTTGTTAATAATGTGAAAGTATTTGAACTTCATTACATTAACCATAGTCTTCTTGTTTTGATCCCTAGTTTACTGTATAATTAAAATTATTAAGATAATCAATGGGGGAGAGGTTAAAACATTCAACCTCCCCTAGCAACACCAATGTCTAAAAACAATGTTTATTAATCACAATAAAAATAGTTTATTCGGTATATCAAGTTTAATTTCATAGACAATATTTTATCATTTGATAATTAAAAATTATAAATGCATATATAAATGTTTAATAGATACGTATAGGATATAAAATATTTTACAATAGTTAAGAAAAAAAAAATTAAAATTAAAAACTTATTTTAAATAAAATAAATATACTTACATGCTACATGAGTTATAATCAATTCTGAATAAATACCACTCTAACATACAATTAATATCGTCTGTTCATTAGTCCTGTTGAACGTTGCATAGGTACTTAACAATTAAATATTAAAAGTATGTACTTGACCAATATTTTTAAACATTATATTGAAAAATGACTGTTACGTAAATATAAGTGTTTGCAAGTTTATTAAAATTAGTAAACAATTGATTTTAATTACTTGTTGTAGGTATTAAATAATACAAATGAACTTTCTGTAATAATTATTATTCTATTGTAATGCCGTAATGATAAATAAGCTGAAATCAGTTTTTGCATTTTTGATTGATCTGAAAAATCGTACAATTTGCGCTATTAGATACTGCA